AGCTATGTAGTAGATTAAAGAATTAGTTGCTATTATGTAATGAGTTAAGGAATTTGTCTTGTAAACCAAATCGAACGGCTTTGAACGGCTTCGAACTTGTATGTCATAAAAATCATTTGAACTTGTACGTTATAAATATCAACAGTTCTTGGCTATTATAATTGAAGTCAATCCTCTGTAAACATGTGACAGGTATTCGTAGTGAATTATGCTGCAGATTTGTAAATTTTCGAAACACATTTAAAACCAAAGTTGTATGCACGTTGGATGTGTTAGAGTAAAAGAACCAAAACTATCCTCCTGGTTTAAATTTAATTATTGGGCCGAATGATGATGAATTTCATCATAGTAGACAACTCTTGACAATAAAATGGCATAAATCTCAATCTTCGAATAATAAGCCCTTATGTGTATCACTTCATGATTCCCTGAACTTCCAGCAGTAACCCAACCTTTCACAAATCAAAACAAACAAATGGGTTAAACGGTTAGCTATGCATAATGATTGACTATGAGAATGAACGCCATCTTCACTCGATACTACCGCGTCTGCACACAAAATTGGTTAGTCACATAAATATTAAATAAAGAAATATAGTAGAAAATGCGCAAAAAGAGGTGGGATCTTACGGTCAAAAATTAGGGTGCAACACACGCTCGCTACTCACTCGCTAGGCGAGCTGCTGGCGAACGCTCGCTACAGCCTCGCCTAGCGAACCTGCCAGCGAGGTCTGCAAGATCCATTCTGTTATGCTTCGCTAGGTGCTCGCTGCAGCGAATGAGCCAGCGAAGGGTGCCTGGGACATTCTGTTTTGCTTCGCTAGGTGCTCGTTGGGAGCTCGCCTAGCGAGCCTTTTCGCCACTTGCTCGCTGACCAAGATTGATGTTGAAAACCATTCTGCCCAAGTCTGGAGCTGTTCGCTACGTGCTCGCTAGGCGAGGCTGTAGCGAACACTCGCTACTCACTCGCCAAGTGCTCGTTGAGCGAACCAACTTTTGTTATGCTCTTTGCTTGATTCCTTTGCCAACTTTCTTGTGCCTTCAATAATGCTCTTTCACACTTAAATCCTGCACAATAACACACAGATCAAAAGGACCAAAAGCATTTGACACAATGATGCACATTAACAAAAGCAAAGCTTAATAAATACGTTTTTGGCATAAAAAGAAGTGAAAGATGTCCATATTTGATAGCTCCAATAAGCACAATTGGGCATCTAACAGCTGACACACAACGTTTATCCTCTAGAACCAGATGATCATAGTACTCAATAAATATCCTATAAACATTCCTACAGTGAATATTGGTAGGAGCTATAACGATGTGGTATTCGGGTATACTCTACATATAGCCGAACTGCCGCATGGCTCATTCAAGTAAATATGGGTACATAAGTGGAGACACATAGGTCACCCATCTAGACTACAAGACTATCACCTCTAAAAGTCGTGTCTCATGGTGCTCATTGCACGATATAAAACAAATATCATTCGGCAGAATGCGGTAAAGAGCAACTCGAAATGACTACGTTACCTGATTCTCTCTAAGTGGGATGATCAAGCACACATGTGACAAAGCCTCAGAGTAGTCTTGCAATGAACCAGCAAAAACGAAGTAAAGAAACAGAGCACGAACCCTAAACTCCAATGTGAAAAATGGAGAAACCAAAAAGTTTAGGACAAATAAGGCATGAACCTTAAGCTCTAATATATCATACCTATAAATTATTTATTAATGCATGCATGTCAAATAAAAAAAGTGAACGAGGAACTTACCAATACAATGAAGTGGAACTTTAGTGACATGCAACACAATGGAGTAAAATTTTAAAGATGTGCTAAACATCAATGAAATAAATTATAAACTCAAATTATAAACTCTGAGAATGCTTGAAAAACGATGCAACTAAAATATGCTCTAACTTGCTCTAAATGACTATATATTTCCTCTGTTTGCAAAAATAAAAAAGAGGAAGGAGAAAGAAATGCGCAAATATTTAAACAAAAGCGTCTTGATTTCAATCTCGATAGAAACTCCAAAAATTAAACTCTAAAATATTTTAAAATTTGTAATTCTAAAATTGTGCAAAGGTGTAATGTGTTGAAACATGTCCAAAATTTTTTCACCGCCGTAACTTAAGAATACATATTCCAAAATTTATATTTTTTTTCTTGCTAAAAACATATTCAAGAGAAAGATTATTATTTTAAGTACGTAAGAATTTTAAAATTCAATTTTTAAGATCATTTTTAAAATTTTATCAGAGCGTGTGAGTAGATTATTAAACAATCCCAACAAGTAATAGTAGAATATTAAAAATTACGGAAATCTAAAATATAGATTTAAACTTCCTAATTATATTACCCAACCAAGAGACAATAAATTCACCTTCAAATTAACGATCAAAATGATGAAGAGACAACAATTAAACAGATTATTACAGTAATTAATTAACACAAATAAAAAGTAATAACAGTGTCAGTATCACTACTATTCATTCATCTTGTTCAAGGTTCCTTTTTCAGTTTCCCTGAGAAAGGAAAAGAACAGAAACAGGCCTAAATGGTGTAAGAATATCATTTCACTGTTCACCGTATTGATGAACAGTGAAAGACGGTGTAGGTGTAGAAAATGGTGTAAGAATATCATTTCTCTAATTTATATGAGGGTCCTACATTTCTAGGGGTTCTCCTTGATTCCTTTTTAGTGAGACAAAGTCTTAGAAAATTCTCATGTGTACCTTAAATATGATATTTTTGGATTGAGCCTTATGTAATGTATTCATAGTTCTTTAAAGACTCCAGTAAGGTGTTAAGTGTAGTCCACTTCTTTTATTAACTTAACTTTTATACCATCCATGTAGAGTTCAAGCATATCTCTGATTTGCTTTAGGAATATGTTGTTCATCATTCATTGGTATGTGGCTCTAACATATTTTAGTCTAAATGCCATCACATTGTAAAAGTCATTCCCAACTTTATTCATGAATATTATCTTTTCGCAATCTTTTGGACCCATTGGTATATGGTTATAACCTGAGTATCATTCGTGAGTATTATCTTTTCCAATCTTTGAATTAATCACTAACACTATTTTACACTCTTAGATAGTAAGTTAGAAGAAAATTGTCATTTTTAATAAACCTTACATTATAAGTCATTTATAAATCAATATCACAATAAACCATACACATTTGTCATTTAATAATAAGATCAAAATAGAAGAACTATTACGTATCTCTAATGCTAAAATTTCATAATCAATACCATAATCAACGATAATACAAAACGTCAAAAATATCAAAATACAAAGTAAAAGAGAACTATTGTGTATATTTGACGCCTTTGTTCCTCCTTTGTCTCCTATACTACAACGTATGTAATGCCTCTACTAAGATGACCTGTAGAGTGACCAATACTAAGATGACCTATAAATTGTCCATATCAGGAATGTCTTCCTAAAACTCGCCCCAAGTTATGGCATCTCTCTCCGAATAGCCACAATACAGTGACATATCATATCAATGACATGACCTGCCCGTGTCTGATCCTCTTCTAAGATCACCTGATGAGGTGGCCTTAGAGGATCTTCTTCTACATGTAGTGTCATATTAGGATGTGACACTCTATAAAACAATTGGATATAGCTGTATACTACACTCTACAGACGAGGAGCTGACACACAACGTTTATCCTCTAGAATCAGATGATCATAATACTCAATAAATATCCTATAAACATTCCTACAGAGAATATTGGTAGGAGCTATAACGATGTGGTATTCGGGTATACTCTACATATAGCCGAACTGCCGCATGGCTCATTCAAGTAAATATGGGTACATAAGTCGAGACACATAGGTCACCCATCTAGACTACAAGACTATCACCTCTAAAAGTCGTGTCTCATGGTGCTCACTGCACGATATAAAACAAATATCATTCGACAGAATGCGGTAAAGAGCAACTCGAAATGACTATGTTACCTGATTCTCTCTAAGTGGGATGATCAAGCACACATGTGACAAAACCTCAGAGTAGTCTTGCAATGAACCAGCAAAAACGAAGTAAAGAAACAGAGCACGAAGCCTAAACTCCAATGTGAAAAATGGAGAAACCAGAAAGTTTAGGACAAATAAGGCATGAACCTTAAGCTCTAATATATCATACCTATAAATTATTTATTAATGCATGCATGTCAAATAAAAAAAGTGAACGAGGAACTTACCAATACAATGGAGTAGAACTTTAGTGACATGCAACACAATGAAGTAAAATTTTAAAGATGTGCTAAAATTCAATGGAATAAATTATAAACTCTGATAATGCTTGAAAAACGATGCAATTAAAGTATGCTCTGACTTGCTCTAAATGACTATATATTTCCTCAATTTGCAAAAATAAGAAAGAGGAAGGAGAAAGAAATGTGCAAATACTTAAACAAAAGCGTCTTGATTCCAATCTCGATAGAAAATCCGAACATTAAACTCTAAAGTATTTTTAAATTTGTAATTCTAAAATTGTGCATAGCTGTGATGTGTTGAAACGTGTCCAAAGTTTTTCCAGTGCCGTAACTTATGAATACATATTCCAAAATTTATATTTTTTTCTTGCTAAAAACATGTTCAAGAGAAAGATTATTATTTTAAGTACGTAAGAATTTTAAAATTCAATTTTTAAGATCATTTTTAAAATTTTATCAGAGTGTGTGAGTAGATTATTAAACAATCCCAACGAGTAATAGTAGAATATTAAAAATTACGGAAATCTAAAATATAGATTTAAACTTCCTAATTATATTACCCAACCAAGAGACAATAAATTCACCTTCAAATTAACGATCAAAATGATGAAGAGACAGCAACTAAACAGATTATTACAGTAATTAATTAACACAAATAAAAAGTAATAACAGTGTCAGTATCACTACTATTCATTCATCTTGTTCAAGGTTCCTTTTTCAGTTTCCCTGAGAAAGGAAAAGAACAGAAACAGGCCTAAATGGGCACCACAACAACACTGCGCTTCCGTTACTTCCCAAACTGCTTCCTCACGCATCCATGTAGCAGCAGCAGCAGCGGCGGTAACAAGTGCATGTTTTCTTCAACACAACACCAAACCACTATCTCTCTCCCTCTCAGTTCCTCCACTCACTTCCACCTTCTCGCTTCGCAAACCAGCAACACCACAACCGCTCGGTGAACCTTCTTTCTTCGCCGTTCTCTTCTTCTTCTTTCTTTTTATTTTATTGTAACAGTAACAGGTGAAGTTAACTAGTGAAGTGATTTTGAATTCCTAATTTGGATGAATTCAGGAAAAATCGAAAGCTGAAAACCGATGACGAGATCTGCTCCGAAATTCGGCAATTCATCGCTGAAGTTGGACTCCCTCACGACCACATTCCCTCTACCAAAGAGCTTATACTCCATAGAAGGTCCTTCACTTTTTCAATTTTATCAATTTTTTATTTTATCGTTAAATAAAAGAGAACTTCAATTCTGAACTGTTCTTACTTCTTATAATAGAATTATACAAACTGATGCTGTTAATGCAATTGCTAGAAAACAGAGAAATCAGGATGTAATAAATAAACAGCAGTAAGATTATAGAAGAATAATAGGGTTTAATATGATTTTATTCTCTATAATTAATTATCTTGAATTTTATTTAGTATTCATACCTACTTTTCAGTCTCTACAAATTACTAAATTGCATGTTATTAGTCACTCTATAGGGTTTTGTATTCTCTTTAATAAATTTTGGTATGCTGCAAATGATTGGTAAAGTGTTAGGTAGGTACCAACATAGTTGGAATGTCTTTTCTCTATAACGATGCATTTAAAATTTAAATACCATTTTTGCTTTAAAATAGTCCCTCTGTAGAGACTATAAGTTTGGAGTTTTGTTATTTGTAGGGATTGAAAACTTTGTTTAGGACTAATGACCTCGAGGGTTATGTGTGTTTTAAACTACTTTTTAACAATTTCGTCTATTTAACTCGTGTATATAGGAATGACCTGGCAAACATTGTTAGGCGGAGAGGTCATAAAAAGATTCAGGATCTTCTCACAAGTTCGTTATATGGTGAAATTGATTCATTAAACACAGGAGAAATTTTAGAGGAAAGACTGGATTCTACAAATGATAGTGTGGATCTATTAACAGGTCAAACAAATTTCTTCTTTCTTAATGATTTCTTTTTATGTATTATTCATAATCATGACTGATGATCGAACATAATACAATTTAAAGGTCAGAATGAGGATGGGGTAGGGGAACTCAAAGATTATGCTGAAGTGGTTAATAACGTGGCAGAGGGGAATTTCCGCCCAACTGAAGTGACAACCGTGGACAATGATTGCAGCAGTTCAACAGAAGATTTTTATCCCAATTTTGATAGCCTAAGTTCCATGCCAACAGAAATTTCTGGTGAATCGCCATCTGAGACAACGTTGTTTGGAAATTCAGAGGGTGAGGACACTTTAATGGCAAAAATGGTTGGAGATATTACCTTTCCATTGTCAGTTCCTTCCATGGAAAACCATTCCAATACTTCATTTAAGGATCCTGATCTTGACACTGAAAACAGAGTGTCCATGGAGCAAAAGGACTGTGGTGTGTTAGAAGGTGTAGATATCTACTATAACTATATTGCTGAAGATGTTTACCAAACCTCTGAATTTTTTGAGAACAAAATTGATTCGGTTATTCGTTTTGCAGACATCAGGGATGTAAATCTTGAGACTTCATCCAACTTATCTTTGGAGGAAAGGGTCGCAAATTTTATTCAGAATGGAGATTTAGATGCAGTTGAAGGTAAGACTAATATGTAGTTTCATATCCTTGTGATGAATGCCTGCAACTATGCCTTTGACAACAGAAGCTTGTGATTTGAGTTTAAATATACCGAGTAAAATGAAAAGAATGAAAAATGTGGAAAAAGAAGCCGTGTTCTATTTTTTTATTACTTGCGATGTGATTCCCATAGTTATTTGAAACTTTGATTGCCGTATATCTCTATTAGTAAATTTATAATGCTATGCGAATAGATATCTATCACTTCAATTTTTCACTTTAATGCCGGTTTACATTGCCAACAAGCGGCCGAGTTTAGCCATTGTAATGGACCGATCAAGTAAGACAGTTAAAGAATACTTTCTCACTTTAATATACATTTTATGCACACTATCCTTCTGTTACTTTTGGACAATGCATACATAAGTCTAGTTGTTTGATTCTTAGAACATGTGTCTTGCATTTCAAACTGCGATGATTTTTAGGAAATCAAAGTGTATATTAAATCAGAATCTATTTTTGATACGCCACTAGGTGCACGTCCCCATAAAGAAAATAATGTCATGGCAAATAATGTGAAGTCACTGACATCCAATCAAGTTATTCCGCCTGGAAAATTGGACCAGCCTCTTCGGTAAGTTTTCTGTACTATATGGATGCTAATTGCCAACTACCACTGTTGGAGGTTAATTGATGTTTGAATCTGAACTGAGATCCCCTTTTTTTACTTGTATTCAAAATATATATATAGGGAGGATCACATGCCACATGAGGATCCAATAACTCATTTTGACAAGGATTTGGATGCCGAGGTCATTATAAATTCTATCTTCATGGATAACTCATTGAGATTTAAATTGTTTGCTTTTTTTTTTACATAATTTCATTATGCAGGCTCCAAATGTACAAAATCAAAGTGAGATAAATCATCTCAAGTTCATGCTGGTAGTAATTATGAAGTTTTTTTTTTTGTTGTGATTTATATATTTACGAGTTGTTGGTTATTTTTTTGTTTAGACTAGTTATATTTATGAATATAACTTGTTATCATTCTCTTTCTCTTTTTCCCCCTCTCTCTTCCTTTTGCAAATGCTATTTGTTGCATAGTACCAGAAGGAGTTGGAGTTGACTCGGCTGAAGGAGCAGATTGAGAAGGAAAAGGTAGATGATCTAATTCTGAAAATTGACCCTACAAGATGTGTGTATATATAATTATTGTTAACCCACATTGGCTGTATGGTCAAATTGCTTGTTATAAACATTTCTCTGGGCTTTGGCGCCTTTTATTCACCATGGAAGAAAGAAAACATTTCTAAAGTCGTTATGCCTAAGATTAAAGATGCTAGAAAGATAGAAACAAGTGAGCATGAGTGATAAAGAAAAAGAAAGAGGCGACATCAAATATAAAGTGGAGAAATAAATGAATGTAGCTTAGTTTTCATTCATCAGCAAAAGTTACTATACTATAATTTTCAATTTCTTTTTCTTTAAGAACTACTTTTTGGGTGCATGATGTTTCATTTTACTTTTTTTTATGGACGGGACTTAAGTGCCGAATGGGAAATGTGTGCCAAATATGAATCCTATTTGTTTAATGTATATGTATGACGTTCTCCATCCTGAGAGAACTTTGTAAAGGGTCTCTACATCCTGTAATGACTAGTGACAGCATTTGAACCTCCTCAAATTTGTGTCATACCTGCAAGTCGTTTTTAAGGCTGACAATTATAGATTGACAAAAGTGTGAAAATTTATTAAAACATGAAACCTAATGGGTAGTCACTCTGTTTTTCAAAGGATCTTTGACTTACAACTTTATACACTTTGATTGTAAGAAATTGTATACAATTGTTTAAAGTTTGTATGAAGCTTGTTGTCCGGCATTAATGTTGGGAGGCTTTATGATATCGCATTGAACTTGTTATATTTTTTAATTAAACATATCATGTAAAACACTTTTCCCATCCCTCTCCATAATTTATGAGTTATTCCATTCAACTTGCTTAGCCAAATATTGTATTTGCTTTCAGCATGCTTTGTCTGTCTTGCAAACCAAGGCGGAGGAGGAAATCAGCAAAGCGAAAAAACTTTTATCTGAAAAAGATGCAGAGCTGCTTGAAGCTGAAGAAAGTCTTTCAGGACTCAAGGAGGTATTGCATCTGTGTTCTTGTAGACTTTTAGGAGGAACTTGCATTTTCTTGTCCTAGTGGTTACCTTTTCTAAAAAAGTTTGTGATTAAAATTTCTTGAGCTACTGATAGCACAGTGTTCCTTGTATTTTCAGGTTCTTATTGAGTTCTCTGGCGATGGTGATGTCGTGGAAGTAGCTGGAAGCTTCAACGGCTGGCATCACCCAATAAAGATGGACCCTCAACCTCAGCCATTAACTAGTGTTATAGACCATGGTGGATCAAGGTTCTAAATATTTAACATCATACGATTCTTGAATTTGTTTTGAGGCTTCAAATTCAAGTCAAATTTCAATTAGCAACAATTGGCTGATTAAGATGTCTTAGTAAAATATTGATATCTTCAATTCATTGTGATTATATCCAGAAAATCCAGATTTTGGTCAGCGATGCTGTGGCTATATCCAGGTGTATATGAGGTGTGTGTATCTTCCACTAAAGTTTAAAATTGACATAAAGAGCATAAATACTTGAAGATTTAATAACTACTTGTTTGTTGTAGATAAAATTTGTCGTTGATGGCCACTGGACAACAGATCCTCAACGGGAATCAGTAGGAAGGGGTCACATATGTAACAACATTTTAAGAGTAGATAGATGATGCATTCTAGTTCAAGCCAAAACTGTCAGATGTATATAACAAGGTTAGCTGATAATTTCCATCTTGACTGTTTGTAATCATCGATTAAAACGTTTCTAGATATTCGCCGAAAGTAACCAAGTCAAACTAAGGATCTTAAATTTTAATTGATAGACATGCATTTAAATCAGTTAAGGTTTTAGGTCCGCACCCTCTAATATGCTCGTTCCTCCCCGTCCTATTTTTTGCGGACGCAGACGTTAACAAGAATATTTGCAATTTTTAGCCTTTAGGGGCGCAAGACCCGCATGCCCGCCCTGCTCTGTCTTCATTTTTTCACGGGCTGATCAAAATTTTAGACCCACACCCTCAACTATACCGTCCCACCCCGTTTCTTTTGGGCTCTTGCGGGGCGAACATGTTTGTTTGCCACCCTTACTTATATAATATCATAAAATTCTTATAGATTTTTATTGTTAATAATATTGAAATTGTGTTTGACATTTGTAGAGTGATCTCATATTATTGTAGGCTGATGTAGGGTGCATATCAATTGAAGATAATGGTTTGCTATGAACATCCAAATTATCAATATGAACAAGAGAGGACACAAGCACACAAGAAATATCAGCAATCGGATTAAGTATCTTCTAATACCATCTAGTATGTGCATTTCATTTAGAGATTAGTGTTTTTGATGTCTATCTTCCACGTATGGGCAAGGATTTGTTTGTAGTTGGGAGAGAATCGACCATTAGGCGTGGGCTAATAATGGTGAGGGATTTAGATAGTTTTAGAAAGAGGTCATTCATTGGTTTTAACTTTTAACGTCCACACCTCTTGTCATTTTTTGTGATTCATTATAAAAGCGTCTCACAAGAACCATGATGCAAATTCATTTTGCTGAGCACTGTAAATTTAAGATGCGATGTAGTATGATGGATGGCATCAAACTTTAATATTTTTTTATTAAGTAAAATTTAAAGATTTAGTTAGACTCATTTAAATGGTGGCTTCTAAAGTGATTATTCAATTAAGCCTATGTATGTGTTTGAAAACCAGGCGAGTCACTGCCACCTCACGTTTCACACCCTTTCCACCGTGAATTTTGAGAAGCTACTATTGTTAGCTTTTACTAGGTGGCGGTGATTCACCTTGTTTCCAAACACACTAAATTTCTCACTACCCAAAAGTACTTTTGATGATATGGTTAGAAATCTCTTCCAGCATAATAAGAGATACTGGATTCAAATTAGAGAGTTTTGCTGTTTATTGTAGTCTTCTTTGATGCGAGTGATTAATCTCTCAATGCAATAGAAAACACCAATTTAACTTGTAGTTCAAATTTGTTAAAAATGAAAATATATACACATTATCACACACAATCTTGTCTCTATATCTCCCATATGCGAATCTACCTTCCAATGATGCTTTACTGTGTGTTTGATTGGAGGAAAATGGAATAGAAGAGAATATTTTTAATTTGAGTTGTTTTGTTCAATTATTTGAAAAAGGAGAGAATTAAAATCTATTCTAAACTAACTTTAGCTCCTTCTATAAAAAAACATGATATTTGGATTTGAATCTTATCTTCTAGGATGGTCATGGTTGAATTACTGAGATCACCAATTTATAACTATTTGTCATAATCGAATATTATAATCAATTCATATAAATAATTTTGTTTTTAAGAAATCGATTGTAAAATCAATTATATTCATAACTAAATTTTATAACCGGATATGGACTTCCTAACTAGTTTTAAAAGTCACATTAGGTTTTTAATTTAAAATCGGTTATGGATATACAATTTCAGTTTTTAAAATTGAATATTCATTTTTGACACTGGGATTTTCAACTAAAAACCGGTTCGGACATAAAATTCAATTTTTAGGAATGAATTAAAAAAAGGACTTATTCGTAATCAAAATTTTCACCAACAATAGTTCTTATCATCTCAAAGACCCTACATAATAGTCAATCCTAAAATGTTAAAGTTAACATTTTACCCAACTTAATTAAACATGAAGATAAGTTTTTATTGTGGCATATTATCTACCTGATAGTCTGCCATGCAAGTAAACTATCTCAGCTATCGCAACAATAGACCTTCTTGATTCAAATTCTTACGTTCATCCCCTTTGAAATATTTTACAAAAGAAAACAAAGAAAGAGCCCTAGACTTTGAAATTATCGTGCTCGCGATGAGATCCATCCATCGTGATAACGTTGGACTGCTTTGCTAAAATGTTTTTAACTTGTCTAAAAGGAAAAGAAAGAGATTTTATAGGAAGAAAAAAAAAGGAATTTTATAGGGGAGAATGTTCTTTAGACTCAAATTTGACGGCAAAACTATTTCTAAAATTCTGGAGCGAAAGTTTTCATCATTGAAAGTTTTCTAAATTATTTTAGTTATGATTCTTATGAATATAAATAATTAAGTTTTATTCATTAAGGTTTGTTAGTTGAATCTCTATCAACTTATTGAGACATATGTTTAGGTCTTTGTACTATTTGTATCTTTTGATTTATTAAGTATCATTATGCAGTCTAATTTTGTGTTTGTTATTTTAAAGGTGGTTACGAATACATATATTAGATTTGTAGTGATTACCGACCATAATTCTATGAATCGAAACTAAATTAATCTGTTCAACTTAATAATTAATTAGGGATAAGAAATTATAAGTTGCGACTTAAGGGTTTAACGTACTGAAACATTGTATGTTTTAACTAAACAACTGACCTAAGGGATTAGAAAACATAGTGTAGAATAGTAAGTTATACACCAAAAAATTGAATAAAACAATTAAGTTAAACTATTGTAATCATTGGTAAATCATCTTAGAGACAAATAGACATCAATATCAACAGTAACATATAGACGATTCGAAACAAAATCTAATCATCATTAATCCGATCAAAATTTTCACAAATAATATTTCCGCTAAAATCCATTTCAATAGCACACAAATTGTAAGTCAAGAAATGCAGGCAATTTCAAACTTAAAAAGGAACTACTATGATAAATAACAGTACATGTAAAGGTGTAATAATCATTTTCAGTTTAAGTAAGCAATTGAATAACTCAATTATAAAACAGCAGAGTACAAAAGGTTATTTGTAAGTTTTCAAAATCCGCATTATCAACTTTTACAATGGTGCTCAAATAAATCTTTAATAAATAACATTTTACAGAATTACTGGTTAGTAAAATAAAAAAATATTGATTTGTATGTTTTACTCTTTGATATATAAAGCTAATATGGAGCATATATTGTGGAAAAGTAGAGACTTTTATAGTAGCTATTATTCTCTGAGGATTGTAAGGTCCAGTCCTCTCCTCATCGGTGGTAAAATAGGTGGTCCGTCCTGTTTAAGTCGTCTAAAAGTAAGACAGTATGAGTAAATTAACTTAAGTATTCGAATTCAAAAGTCAAACTCGCTCCATTTATTTAATAAATTGGCCGTTAATCTTTCAATTTCTTTTTCACTTTAATGTATTACATAATTTACAAAAGTTTTAATCATTGCTAAAAAATTTGACAAAAGATATTCTTTAACAACATATTATAGAATTTCAACAAATTTTAATAAATAATAAATTTTGTAATTATCAAAGAGGCCGACAAAAAATAAAATAAATAAAGATGAATTAAAAAAAACATAATAAAATATAAAAAAACACAAGAACGAAAAAATATATAAAAATAAATAACAAGAAAATAATAGCACATAAAACAAGCAAAACACATTAGCTTCTATGTACAAAATCGAAAGAACAAGCAATATTTTTAATTGAGTTCTCCCATTAGCAAAATTAAAATGAACTTCTAATAAAGAAAATGAATAACAAAATATGAGTCAAAAGTAGAAAGGAAACAAATAAAAAATAATGGTTTGTTCACAAATAAATTATATTTACAAGGGCCGTGTTTTATACACAAATAATATATATATATATATATATATATATATATATATATATATATATATATATATATATATATATATATATATATATATATATATATATATATATATATATATATATATATATATATATATATATATATATATATATATATATATATATATATATATATATATATATATATATATATATATATATATATATATATATATATATATATAAAATAACACCACTAACAAATTGCAACACTCTTCAATTAAGTATATCAACAGTAAGATCTCACATTGTGATCCCAATGTAAAAAGGAAACTACATAGAATGATAGTAACTACATATTCTTAAGTCATCATAAAAAATAGTCATGATGATTTACATTTATCTTAGACTTATACACATGGAAATTGGTAGATAATTGAGTTCAGTACATTAAATATGCTTTAGGATCGAGATTCGATATTTCAGCAAACATTTTTTCAAGAGACAATCGTTTTAGCAAAGATTAAACTGTTGATATAAAATTCGACAATATGGAACATATTATTGGACAAGGAGAAAATGAGTGTCTTATTATTTTAAATATGTGTTTCTAGGTTAATTTCAAACCTTATCCAAGTTTTTATCACATACTAACCTTTAAACTAATATTAGTTTTACTACGAACTTACCAAAAACCTAAACAGATTTTATCACAGGCCGATCTCAAACCTAAACAAGACTTTGATCTCATAATTTCAAAATCAAAGCTTTTTAGGGGTTTAACTTCTAACCCACAAATAATCTCGGACTGGATAATATTCAACCAAGGTGTATACAAAAGATTCTCTTGGTGAATTTTATAATTTTATCCTTCCAAAATTACAACATATCCTCACTCACAAAATAAATTTCTCGTAGAAGCCTTTCGGCTAAAACATTAGTGAGAGAAAGTAAAATAAAAAGTTTAGAGAGAGAGAGATTGTCAAAAACACTGTTTTAGATAATTTGAAATGAGGAAAAAAATAAAATAAAAAGTTGAGAGAGAGAGAGAGGAGAGAGAGAGAGAGAGAGAGAGAGAGAGATGAGAGAGAGAGAGGAGAGAGAGAGAGAG